AGTTACTATCACGTGATCTTCGATAAAATTCTTTAAAGCTTATTTAGGTTTGGGTTAGGGTCTTTGTTAAGGTTTGGGTTTAGAGGTTTAATAGCAAAATCGTTAAAGGAAAACTTTTTGTTAATGCACAGAAGGTGGTTTCCTATGCAAAATCTCGAGTTACAGGTGATTTTTGACAAAACGAACGTTTGTTTTGTTTTGTTTTGAAAATTTCTGATCATGTAACATTACACCTGATTTTAAAATCTGATTTGTTTAAAATCATGTGATAGTAACTTTTTGGTGGTGATACTGGGGTAGTTCAAGATCAGCATCAGAGGTATAATTTTTAGAGAATAGTTTATTCAATAAAAATAATGAACACTAGTAATTTATATGTATAAGATATATCTTTACAGAAACTAGCTAATTTTTTTTCATGAATTATTATAATCTTAAAGATTATAATATAATTATCAAAATTATATCTTATAATAATCTTATAATACTCATAAAAATCTTATAATAATCTTATAATTATCTTATAATAATCTTATCTTATTATTATCTTAAAATAATCTTAAAATAATTTTATAATTATTAAACTATAATTTTATTATGATTTTTATATATTAAATCTTAAAATTAAAATAATATAATCTTTTCATTATGAAAATCTCATATTAATAACTTTAATATTATCAAAAAAAAAAGTGTTAGTTTCTGTAAAGATGGTATTAATTATAGTCCCACATCTGTTTATATCCAAGAAACCTCTGAGTGAAATTTAATAATTCTTGACATTCAAATGGAGGTGCACTTTCAGGAATATCAGATGGATTATCATACGTTTTCCATTGTATCATTGTTGTTCAATCAATACTATATGATCTGAGGAATCCATTATGAACTCTCCTTGTTAATTCTGCATCAATTTGTCCACTTGGACTATTGACGTCAAGGTCTTTTAATAGCTTTCGAGCACCACGAGCCGAGATGGCATAACCATGCGTATTGATTGGATTAGTGGATTTAATCAATTTAAATTCACCATTTTTTGCTAAAACTTGGCCTTCCTCATAATTATAATGTGCTATATAAAATATATCCCAATCATCTAGTAAAGCACGACTAAGATCACTGACAATTCTGGATATTTCAAATTCAATATCTACATCATCTTCTATAATTAATACATTTTTATATCCATTTTTAATGATTTCTTTATAAATAAAATAATGACTTAAATAGCAAGCTTTTTGTGCATTTGATATTCCATCAAGATTATATTTGCTGAGCAATTCTATATCAAATCTGGAGACGGCTGGGAAAAAGTCAAAATCTAAGTCAAGAATATCAGCAATTTCTTGTATCTTTTCACGTCTATCCATTCGATAACTAAGATTAATAACAAAAATATGATCGAAACCGAGGGTACGATTTAGTGATCTGTATTTATTTAATTCTGAAGGTTGTTTAAGTGCTGTTGAAAAAAGAAAAACTGCTAGACACACTAGCATAAAGATAATGATGATAAATACTTGTTTCTGTGTTTTTGTTCGTTGCATTTTATTTTTTGTATAATGTGAAGAAAAAAAAATATGTATAATTTTTTTTGTTGGAATTTATACGTATGTGATGCATGATTATTTATGGTGTTTATAATTATATAGTTACATAATTGTTTTGAAACATAACAACCGGGCGGTGGATAACTGTTTGAAGTCCGTATTTTGATTCAGATCAACTACTCAAACTACAGTTAACTATAGTTAACTACTTGAACTATAGTTAACTGTAGTTAACTATTGAAACTGTATAGATTATAGTTAACTATCACAAACTATTGAATTTAAGTTATGCGAATTGATGTCATTTGTTCGATAAATATAAATAGTAAATTACTAATATTGCTAATTTCCCCCACCACTTCTGATTAGCGGTACTAATTATTCAAATATTGGAGTATTTATATTAGTAATCAAAAAAAATTTAAGTAAAAATTCGTGCTGTTTGACTAGAATTAATATTTTGGCATTATATTATAATTATAAGACGTTTCTTATACCAAAATTTTACAAGGAAAATTTTTTATAATTTAGAGTTATGGGCGATTTTTAATTTTTGCAATTTTTTTTTGCGTTTCTTTTACATTACACCTGATCATGAAATTGGATTGGCTCTGATAAATTAATAATTAGTACAGCCAATCAGAAGTGATGAGAGGAAATTAGGACACTCAAACTATTGAATTAAGTTATGCAAATTGATGTCATTTTTTCAGGAAATATAAATATATATATCCTTTTTATGACATAATGATCTACATCCATACTGTTAGACCTGAAACTGTGCTCAAGTAACACCGGATATACCTCACGTGCATTAATGTAGTACAGAGGTTACAAATGCCAAGAAAACTAGTAAAACTAATAGTTTTAGTAGTTCTTGTAGTTCGCGTATAACTTTTATAACTTTTATTACTTTTATTTCTATTATATGTATTGGTTAGATTATATCGCATAAAAATAATATATAGAACAGATATTGTATAACTGGTAGATATAATAGTAATTTATCTTATTCATTAGAAATATATAAATATCCTCGATTTCTCTTTGAGAATCGACAGTTCACAACTTATAGTTAACAACTCATATTTATTAAATAAAATAACTTGTGTCTTCATACACGAGATAAACCCTAATCGTGTCTTCATACATGATTTAACACCATATTGTGTCTTCATACACAGTATAAACCCAAAGTAATCGTTAAGCGGATTAACGATCTTTAACACGTGACTATCGTAAAGAGAGTTTGCGATAGATATATTTAGACTCATTGTATACCTTAATACGACTACTTATATCTTCATATATATTTAGCTGTTTGCCTCTTTCGTAAGTGCAAATCACTTGAATCCTCTTAAAGCGTAATAGCACTAAAACCTAAATTACTTAAACATAACCATTAGTAGTAGTTAGTTAATTAATAACATAGACATTGCTAAAGTAAATCCGTTAATACTGAGCTCATAAGAGGTAGCTTTTAGGTATAACATTTGGTGGTGACTGTGAGATACAGCTCAACCTATATAATAGGATATTAAAATAGATTAGTTAGTAATTATATGAATTTGAAATTCAATTTTCTAAAACATATAATAGATACAACCTGGCATTTAAGTTTACACAAGAACAAAAGTAAGGGTATTATTAAAAGAGATTATTGCCCAATTTGTCATCCTTTACTTAAGAGTTTACCACAGCCATTTGTAAACTATTGTAACTGGTATTTGTTGACACATTTGATAGACGTGTTCACTAGTAAAACCTTAGAATATTTCAGAGAATTTGAAAATATCTATATTCAAACGGAATCATCGTCTTGTAGGAATACTATATTTAAAATAATTCATAGTATTAGTTATAGTGATAAACCTAGAAACATATTAGAAATTATTAAATTAGTTCTATCAGTTGCTAATTATACACAGTGTTTTAAAAACGATCTCTTCTCACTTATATCAAAACAAGTCAATAACTTCGTTAATACATCCACAAAAATGACTACTATCTGAAAGACGTCCTTGATTATCTTAAGGAAAACCCAAAAGAATCAGTCATACTACGGGTTGAACCTTTCTTGGGAGATGGAACGCAAGACCCATATACTTGGCTTGAAAGTTTCGAAAAAGCCGCTGCTGCAAATAATTGGGATTATAAAAGAATGAGATATGTGTTACCAGCTTTTATGCGAAATACTGCGGACGAATGGCAACATGCATATTTCACTAAAACGACCTTATCCACTACAGATCATCAAGCAAATTGGAGAGCCATAGCAAAAGCTTTTAGAGAACGTTTCTGTAGTCAAAGGTAGAAAAATAAATGGTTAAGAGAGTTGGAGTCTATGAAACAAAATCAAGAAGAAACAGTGGATTCTTACTTGAGTCGTTTTAATCGACTGGTGAAACGAGTAGAGATCGAAGAGAATATACCGGACGCAAAAGTTATTATATTTTAAAAGAGGATTGAGACCAGAAATGTTACCCATCATCATGATGCACAAACCTACAGATCTTGATGGAGTTTTAGATCTTGCAAGATGTCATAAAGAAAGTACTGATTCTGCAAAGCAGACTGATCCGGTACAAATAAGGAGATCTAAAAATTTAGAAAAAGATATAAAATTTTTGACACAAAAAATGCAACAAATGTCCCTTAATTATGCAACAATCGCATCAGCACTTACCGCTCAAGTACAGTCAAAAACTAATAAACCTAATAGAGTTGCAAAGCCAGAAATGATTTGTTATCGTTGTGGTGAAAACGGACACTTCGCTCATGATTGTATGTTGGAAAAGAGAATTACTAAAGAGCAAAGAATGCAGTTACAAAATAATAATAATAATCCTAGAAATGTCAGTTATGCTAATGCTGAGTATTATAATATATTAGATGAAGAAGAGGAGATAGTTTATATTACTCAAAATCCCAGTCATCAACCTTATAATAAGGATTGAAAGGATGCGAAACAAAAACAGATAGATCAACAAAAGAAACAAGTGTATCGGAAAATAACCTCTAAACCTCAACATCAACTGTCAACTAGTATACCAATGGAAGTAGAGAATCGTCAACCACAACGACAAGTAAACCCTATTGTACAACCAAAGAAAATAATTCAAAAACGATTACCTTTGGTTGTGGATAAATTAAAACTATACGATATTTCAGAAGATTTGTTAAATACTAGAGCTAATGCTACATATAGACAAATACTCCAGTCCCTGAATCAGAGACGGAATTTAGCAAAAGCTTTGAGAAGGAAGAAACCAGCCACCACTGAAGCCAATAGAATTGAAATGGATAGTGTACAAAAGACATAGCAATGAGATGTCATGTAAGAATCAATGGCAACCCTGTTGTAGCCATATTAGATTCTGGTGCTGCAGTGAGCATTATTACTGAAAAATTAATGAAAAAATTAGGATTAGTAATGACTAAGGAATCAAAGACTGTAGTTGTTACAGCTAATGGCGGAAGACTAAAGCCATAGGAATTGTAGAATGTGTTCCTATTACCTTACAAGATATCATTATACCGATAGACCTACAAGTAATAGAATCAATAGACGAAATATTATTATTAGGAACTGATTGGTTCAATACATCAAGTGCTACTCTGGATTTTGGAAAGCACACTTTACACATTAAATATTATAGAAAACAGACAACTATTAATACTACACATACCAGCGTCATTACACCATTACCCGTCGAAGAAAATGAAGATGAATCGGATGACAATCAATGGATTGATGAATTAGAAGGAGAAGAAGAATTAGAAACTTTCTTCTCTGATGAATTAAATACCAATTCAGAAGAAGAATTATATTATAATTCTTGGGAAAGTGACGTTAGCCCAGCTATATGTCTTGCAGAATCTGAAGAAAATAGGAATCAAAAAATAACAGAATTAGAATATAACGTTGGACAGGAAGTCACACATAAACAGCAAGAAGATGCTCAAGTATTATTATTAAACAATTACGACGTTTTTGCCACAGATATATCGAAAGAAGGCCAAACTATGGGATTAGGATGTACTAACATAGTACAACATCATATTAATACCAGGAATGCTGCGCCGATTAAACAGAAGCTATATAGAACTGCACCTGACGCACAGGAATTTCTACAAAAAGAATTAAATAAAATAGAAAAATTAGGCGTAATTCATGCAGTGAAAAGACCATAGGGATCACCTGTAGTTATAGTTCCTAAAAAGAATGGAAAAAAAAGGATTTGTATAGATTATCGAAAATTAAATGCAATAACCAAAAAGGATATTTATCCTTTACCTAATATTAACGAAGTCTTAGATAGTTTTGAAAAAGCTCAATGGTTTTTGAGTTTAGACTTGGCTAGTAATTACTGGCAAGTCGCTATAGCCAAAGAAGATAAAAAGAAAATGGCCCTTATTACTAAATTTGGCACTTATGAATTTAATGTAATGCCATTCAGGCTTTGTAATGCACTTGCTACATTTCAAAGATTAATGGATTCAGTATTACAGGAATTCATAAATAAATTCGTAGTCGTGTATTTGGATGATATTACTATATATTCACTTACATTCGAAGATCATCTTAAACACCTTCAACAAGTGTTCAATAAGCTTAGAGAAGCTAAGCTAAAATTAAATCTTAAAAAGTGTTTTTTCTTCTTACCAAATATCAAGTTTTTAGGGCACGTGGTAGGAAGAGACGGATTAAAATCTGACGAAGACAAAATCAGAAAAATTAAAAGTTATCCCATTCCAACAACGTTATGTCAAATTTGGGAATTCTTGGAACTTGCGTCCTATTATAGAAAATTCATCAA